CATCCTGTGTGGATGCGGGGTTTCTGGAGGGTGGGGCTGAGGCAGTGGCTGCTGTGGGGTTTCAGTTTCCGGAGGGTGGGGCTGAGGCAGGTCAGCAGCAGGGGGATGGATGGCTCATTATTGTTCGTTCAATGCCTTGAGGGATAGCTAGGATTAATGACCTTTATAGGATTGTAGGTTTGGGGTATTTTTTTTTTTAAACGAATTGGATTTCATGTGGGGCAACCTACAGCAGTGTGGCCTCGCCACGTGCCCAGCAAGTCACCTGCTGACACTGTTACTGTGTGTGTTCCCATCATCCCACGAGGTGGCCACAGTTATCACCGCATTTTTCTGACATGAAACTTGGAGAGCAAAGGGTTTAAGAAACTCCTGAAGCCACACTGTCAGCGGGACCCGGGTGGTCTGACCTTAGACCCTGCATTGTTTACCCCCGCCACGCTGTCAGCAGACCCGCGTGGTCTGGCCTTGGAACTCACGCTGGTTGCCCCTCCCTGCCACGTTGTGGGGTTTTTCCTGCTTCGGGGCAGCGTTTGATAGCTTGTGAAACAAAACCAAGACTTACTACGAGTGGATATGCCATTATCTGAGATCCAGAACATTCCTTGGACCTGGCCTTGCGGATGTCACGTAAGGGGAGGTAAAAAGCATTTTCACTGTGGTCATTGGGGCTCCTGAAATGGTGTTCTTCCCAGTGAAAGTTCACCATAAAAATCTGTTAACTCAATACTGTGAACAGGAAGAAGTGTGTTGGGCTCTAGTTAAATGTCTCAGAGCCACAGAAGTAAATGAGGGCACCTTCAGAGCACAGCCTCCTGGAGGAGGCCGAGGACGTTTGCCTGGAGGGTTTGCCGTGAAGCAGGACTTTTGGGCAGGGCTGGTCGGCCTGGAGAGGCCTCTGGCATGATGTAAGTTAGTTGAAGTAGTTGAGGGGTGGTGGCGTGAGGTCGGTGGTCCCCGAGGAAGCCCCTAACAAGGCCGGTTGCGGTGGGATGGAAAACTGCCCTTCAGTGGCTGTAATCCTGGCTTCACGGGTCCGACGGACATTCCTGCACTTTGGATACTTGGATCGCAGCCAGGTCAGATGGTCCTGAAAGGACATTCGGGCTGTGACGGCTGCACCCATTCTCAGCATCTGCAGGGACTTTGCGGGTGTGTGTTTCCATTTTCTTTCAGAGGCTCAGCACAATTTAATTCTCTCTCCCAGAGAAGTCTCGAGAAATAGAAGGACACGTGGAATGAAGGACGTGATTGAAGAGAGTGTGGTGTGGTCTTCGACCTTGTTTTGCCTTGGTTGGTGCTCAAGAACTCCGCCTGCCCTGGGCTGAGCGTTTCTGCCAGGAATTCCTGCCTTTTATCCTGCCTCTGAGGCCCGTTGAGACACTCCAAGAAGCTTCTTTAACAAATTGCCTTTTCCTTTTACAGCCGTTGGATATATTTGCAGCAAAACAAAGGAATAACCCCCAAGTTAGATAAAGCCTCCAATGTGGTGAATTAAAATGCATTTTAAGTATAGGAGTATAACATTTCCAAGTCTTGAAGGGGGCCTGGGGGTTTTTAATCATCTTTGGGGTCATGGTAACCAGCTGGTTGGTTGGGTGATTCAAGTCTCCTGACAGCTCTGTTCTGCCACGTTCCTCAGTTTTGAATGATCTTCCTGGTTGTACCTTGGAGCGGCGTTTGTGGCAGTAGAGAAGAGAGTGGTGGTTCCCAGAGGCTGGGAAAGGACAGAGGTGAAGCCTCTGCAGGACGCCAGTCTTCCTGGTTTAGGGGTTTCGGGCTCAGCCACCTTCCTGTGTCAGTGTAAATTATACCCAGGATCATTTTCACTCCCCCCACTTTAGTTGAACATTAGATCTTCAGGATGTGTGCGCCCACGTCACCTGGGCCGTGATCCTGGAGCTGGGTGAGACTGTGATTCCTGGTTTTATAGAATTACTTGGGGATTATTAAAAATAAAAGCGCTTTGAGGCATTCAAATGTTATTTCTTGAACGTAATTTATGTGAAGTTCTTGGGAAACATTTCTCTGAGGAAGCATCTATAATTTTTGTTTTCTGCTGCTCAGTGCTAGAAAGAATTGTGCAACACTTGAGTGAGAGCGGCGTTATTCCCCTCCCTCCGCCATGCAAGCAAGATTAAACGTGCCTCTGGCTCCCCTCGGTCTTCTCGCCTGGTGTGGCAGTGTGCTGCCTTCCGTCTTCTCTCTGGGGAGAATTAGTGGTGTTTGTGTGTGCTGCTCAGCTCAGCGTGGTGCGGGTGAGGAGCTTGGTTTTGTTAGGTGATCCTCCCAGGCCGCCTCCTGCCTCCCCAGGCCTTGTTCTAAACTGACAGATAACTGGTGTGTTTTGGAAGAGGACAGCTGCAGGGCAGGAGAGCGTTTGTTCAGACTTTCTCCTTGCACTGACGTTTGAGACCTGGTCCAGCCTGGGCCCCTCTACCACTCCCTCCCCGTAACTGTGTGTTGCAAACCACTCCCTCCCAGTAACTTTGCTTTCAGAGGTTTGGAAATGTGACTTAACTCATCTTCAATTTAAAGCATACTATTAAATTTTAATGTTGAAACTGATGTATTTTATGGCCTTTATTTGATTTCTCTTGATTTTTTTTCCCCCATATGAGACATGGCATCTTAAGGGAGACAACCTGGTGTTGGCCGCCTTTCCTAAGGATGGAAGTGAATTCTGAAAGCCCTTTAGGCAGCAAAATACTCAGGGAACCGTTATTATGGCTATGTCTGTCCACGTAAAGCGAACACGACTCATAAGCAGAAAAAAAATGCAGCCCGGGGGCAAGGTGAGCGCTAATGCTGCCTGTGCCTGGCCTCCCCGCCATGAGGAACAGAAGTGCAAGCGGAGGTGGTTGATTAGCCTCCAAGCTGGGTCTGCGCCCCCCTCACATCCCTCTGCATCTGCAGGGGCACAGGTCGTGCTGCCACCCCTCGCTCAGTGCCAGGGCTGATGCGTCAGGAACAGGCGGGGGCTGTCCGCCCCTTGTTCAGTGCCAGGGCTGATCTGTCAGGATGCCTCGTGCTCATCTGGTCCTCGTGTCTTCATCACCAGCCTTCTGCTCGTACTGGGCTTGTTATTACCTTGGTATGGGTTGTGGAGCGGTGCTCAGTCCTCCGAGGGAATCGGCCCTTAGCCGATTCATATTCAACAGGACCGGGGAATGGGTGCTTGTTCCATGTCCTGGATCCCAGGAAGCCCGTGCCCTGGACCCTGTAATGCCCAGGGTCTTCCCGAGAAACCCCGGTGCCACTGGAGCACAGGCCGGCCCGGCCCGGCCCCCTCCAGGCATCCCTGTTTCTCCGCTTTGTAACTGCATTTGTGTGTAGCAGGTCTTCCAGGACTTAGACGTTGCTTGGTGTGAGCCAGGTTTTGTGTGGAAAGAGGACAGGTCATAAGCAGAAGCCTGAGCCCTGGTCCGAGCCAGCAACCAACCAACCCAGAGCCATCTTTTATGCTTCCAGATTCTGTTGCCAAAACTTACCCATGGACATTGAGGGTGATGCACTTCTGCTCCGAGACGTCTGTGGCCTCAGCTGGAGGGATGGAAAGGATGTGGAGCCTCTTCACTCCTGGCCTGGGCTTGGACCTGCTGTGCAGCCTCTCAGGGGCACCAGGGCCCCCGTGTGTCACAGCGGCCTCGGGTTGGTGGCACTGCCCCAGGATGTCCCAGGCTTCATGATGTCCAGGCTCCCCTGGCATGGCGGCCTCAGGTCAGGGGCCCTGCTCCGATGGACATCTCAGGCTCCATGATGCTAGGGCCTCCTTGTGCCATGGCGGCCTCGAGATGGTGGCACTGCCCCAGGGTGTCCCAGGCTCCAAGGCCAGTGTTCCTTCCAGCAAGGGCAAGTTGTACTGTAAGGTCTAGTCTCGGAAGGTGCCTGGGGTCCTATCCTTCAGAGCGGTCCCACGCCCACCACAAATCAAGCCAAGGGAGGCTCTGCCAGAATTTGCAGCTGTGTTTCAGGTGGTCCCACCAGGCCTCTTATTTTGGCCTAGCCAGGTATATAATTCTTTTTCTCTTTGGTTTTTTCGAGACAAGGTCTCACTTTTGTTGCCCAGGCAGTGGTGTGAGCACAGCTTACTGCAGCCTCGACCTCCAAGGCTCAAGCGATCCTCCTTCCTCAGCCTCCTGAGTAGCCAGGACCCACAGGCACATGTCCCCATGCCTGGCTTATTTTTGTTTTTTTTTTTTTTTTTTTGTAGAGATGGAGCTTTGCAATGTTGCCCAGGCTGGACTCGAACTCCTGGACTTAAGCAGTCCAGCTTCCTCAGCCTCCCAAAATACTGAGATCACAGGCATGAGCCACCGTGCTTGGCCAAGCATGTTTCTAATTTCAAAATTAAGAGGACCCAGAGCCAGTTAATGACGTCTCTACTGGAACATGCTGCTTATAGTACATTAAGAAAAATCGTCCAGAACTTGGAAAGGGGCTGGTCAGACACAGTCCTTGAGGTTGTCTGAGCCCCTGGGGTCTTTAACCATCTGGAGGGATGTACCATGTCAGACTCACTGTTGTCGATGGGCTGAAGCCCAGGTTTCGTGAGGTCACATGTCGGCTTGTAGGACTTTCTCTGGCAGAGAGATGCGAGTGACTGCTGTTCACTGAGAGGCTCATCTCAGGGACTTCATGGCCTGAGGGACGGCAGCCTGTTTGAGCTGATCAAGCAATCTCATGCTACCCTTATTTTTTGAAATGCCTGTGAGTGACTTTTCACACGTTCTTTGAAGCGGCTTCTTGCCCGTGTTACTTGTTAAGGAACGAATGCTTTTTTTTTGATCCCTCATCCCTTTCTTTGGGGTGTTCCAGTCTCGGTTCTCACGTGTTCTGCTTCTACGGGAATTTCTGACGCTGCTGAGTGTAGAAAGCACTGAGGAGGCTGTGCTCCTGTCCCCTGTGAGCCTTCCAGGCGGCCTCCTCTCCCCTCCAGGGAGTCAGGAGGAACCTTTCAAACCCTTCTTAATCTTGTTTTCATGTCTTTGTTTTAACAGATTTCTTGGCATCTTCTCCCTTATCCAGAAGTGAGGGTGAACGCCGAGTTATTCACAGGAGTCAAGAGACCACACACAGCCCAAAGTGACATTTGTTTCCCTGAAATGATTTGTGTGTGTTCACCTTAAAATGCAACTCAGTAAAACAGGTGTGTTTTGAGGAATGACTTTAAATTACCCAGGTAAAAATGTGACAGTTAAATTTCATCCAGTCTGTGCAGGTGTCCATAATCCCTTCTGTGGTTGCGTGTGAGTTTATGTGACTTGTGGTTATTTTTGAAGAAAGAAAATCTGTTGTTGCTGAGGACTTCAGATGGTGCGCTGGGATTGTGTGGGGCGGACATCGGGGGCTTCAGTGTGTGGCTTCCTTGAAGAGGTTCAAATTAAGGCTGAGCGTCCCTACTCCAAAATGCTCTGAAACAAACATTCCGAGCTCCCTCATGACACTCGAAGGAAATGCTCTTCGGAGCACTTTGGATTTCAGGCTGGGGATGCTCAACCAGAAAGTGAAATATTGCAAGACCCTTCTTGTCCCAGGAGCTTGGATGAGGACATGTGGCCTGTGCCGGGCATCCCTGGCGTGCGTGGCAGCCTGGGATCCCTGGACTGGTTTTGTAGGAGCCACAGAAGGGAAGAGGCTCAAAGTGGCCATGCCTGACTCCTGAGAAGGGCGGACCAGAAGGGGGTGGGCACGGAGGGCAGCAGCGGAGTCCCCAGCGTCTGGAGCTCCTGTCCCTGTTGGAGCTGAGAGCCTCCTTTAGTTGTGGCCTCTGCCCTGTCAGCAGCCACTGAGGCCTGGAGGGGAGCTGGGGGCTGAGGGAGGAGGAAGGATGATAGGCCTGCTTCTGGAGAGGGCCGGCATCAGCCTGTGCTAGCCTCGTGTGCTACTCCTGCATCCAGGGTGCACGGATTCCTCGTGGCGCAGCAGTTCCCGGGGTGCACAGCGCTCTTGTGTGCAGTAACAGCTTTGTCTCCAACCCTTGGAGGCAAGTTACCTTTTATTCCCCCACAGTGAAAAGAGGTAGAAAATCTTATAGAAATGCATTTGCTGGAATGTCTATTTTCCGATAAAACATCGTACGCTTAGGCTAAATCTGAAAGTGTCTCCTAGTGAGTCTCGTGTGTAGAGTAAGAACAGTTCACGCATATCTTAAAGCAGGTAGATCTAGGAACACAGAGCATCCCGGTGCTAGGATGGAGTTTTCCACTAACTCTGGGAATGGAATCTGTAGAGCCTCGGGTGCTTTTGCACCATGAGGTTAGCCAGGTTAGCGAGGGTGCACTCACAGCCCTGCCTGTGCCCCGTCCCTTCTGCTAGAGCATCTGCTGGGGCCTGCGTGAGTCGCCTGAGCATTGCTGTTACCTTTTTCACTTGAGCCTTTTTACCGAATACTAGGATAAACTTGACCTCACATACTTTGTGGGGAGAGAGAGAAGTATATCTGGGACCTCTTTAATTATATGTTGGAAAATAGATTTGGGCAAAATATTTCTGCGTATGCGTGCTTGGTGGGCATGGGGTTCCCTGCCGCACCCTGAGGCACGTTCGCACATTTTGATTTAATCTTGAGCCTATGGCAACAAAACTGTAGAAGCTGGCTATGACTTACTTTCTAAAATCTAGAAATAAACATACACTTGGAATCATAATCTATTGGACTTCTTTGTAAAACCTGATTTGAGCTATCACTTTTGCTTTGTATAAACAATTTCATTTTTTAATTTAACGTGGCGTAGAATGAATGGAACAAATATTCAAACTCAAATTTAAAAATGAAGAATTGTTACCATTTTGTTTTTGTATCAACATATTGCTTCACCAAGTTTCTTCTTATAATAGTTATACTTTCTCTGAATGTGGCACAATTGTTATAGAATTAAGAAAAAGATTGGGCATGCTGACTTATGCTTGTAATGGCAGCTCTTTGGGATGCCAAGGCAGGAGGATCACTTGAGGCCAAGGAGTTCAAGACCAGCCTGGACAACATAGCAAGACCCCATCTCTATAACAATCTCTATAACAGAAAAATTAGCTGAGTGTGGTGGTGCATGCCTGTGGTCCCTGCTACTCTGGAGGCTGAGGTGGGAAGATCACTTAAGGCTACAGTGAGCTGCGATTGCTCCACTGTACTCCAGTCTTGGCGACACAGCCAAGACCCTGTCTCAGAAAGAAAAAAAAAAATCCAGAAATATCATTTTCTTTTTTAATCATCCCAAAAGAGAAATCGGTTTTTTCTAAGAATGTCAAGAGTAACTGATAAGATTCTTTCCTTGCATTGTTTCTCCTTTTCAAGTATTTAGAGTATTCTGTCCACATGGTCTCTCGTCATCTCGTTACAAATCAGCAGGTGTCTTCGAGGTTAGTGGTGGTTCTCTGTGTTGCACCTTGGAGAACAGCCATCATGAAACCTCTTACCATGATCGTGCACATTGTAGTCCCAATTAAAATCCTCTGTAGAGACGCCTGTGCTGCTTATTAGAGCAGAACTTTGGTTGTGCTAAAACGTGCATTCAGCTAATGGTTTTAAGTTCATATCTGAGATGATGTTGTATAATTCATTAAGCATATGGGATCAGTAATGATAGAAGATAATTCTGGCTGATGTCATTTAGAGGATATTTTTCACATCAAGTTAAAACTTCCTTCGTGATAGTCATTTTGGGATTCATTTAAATATGTGGTTTATTTCATAGCTCAAATTTTCATTAGTCATTTCATAACATAGGATTTTGAAAGCAGATTTGGCAAAAGCTTTCTAACAAAATGTTTGCTTATGATGTCCCAGGGAACAGCACTCAGAATTGCTGGTAACTGTGGTACATTTTTAAGGCTGATGATAGAAGTCACTTGAACAGTAAGGGCTTCTTCGTGAGGCAGATGGGGTTTTGAACCCTGACCCTCCTGATACGCCAGCCCTGACCCTGGCCTTCTCTCCTCTCCTCTCCACTGGGAGATGAGAAGGTGCCAGCATCCACCTCACAGGCCGTCCTGAGAACCTGGGACTAAGGGCTTGTGTTCCTCTTGCAGGTGGCGCAGTTGTGAGGGCTTGACGATATATACACTGCAGGCTGCCAGTGTCGGGATAATCCAGTTTTAGTTAAAAGGTGGGATTTGCTTTGCTCCCGTGCGGACCAGGTGCAGTGCTGCTGTTGCAGCAGGTGTGCGGATCCTCTTGGGTGGTCAGGTGGACAAGGAGTCACTGATTCCGATTCCCAGGGTTAGATGTGAGGGAACCATGGACCTCATGTGTTCAGAGGGAAAGGGAGTAAAAAGCTTCCCTTGTAATTCCAGGACTGTCTGTCCCAGGAATGCCAAACCACTGGCTTTCACTTGATGCTGTCGTAGGTGGCACTGTATGGAAATGAGGACTCATGTTCCGCATACCTGGGCCAGTATCCGTCTCCCTCCAGGGCCGTGGCCGAGCCCTCCTGATTTCGCTGGGTTTCCAGCCTGGGGATCTGTAAGCCCAGTGACGTCTCCGGTCTCAGCCCCCGCTCCCCTTGGGGACAGGAGGTGGCTTCAGGAGACTGGTGATGAATGCCTGAATGAAGCCGACTTGTGACTGCAGTTCTAAGGGCCTCCCTGGGTGTTAGATGTCAGTAAATGACACCTGTGTGTCGATCTCATGTGATGAAACAGTGGGAGAAACCAAAGCTTGTGGAGTCTGCAGGTTCTGGACTGGGGGGTGTGTGCACCTGTGTACTTGGTGAGGGGTGTGATGTCTGGAATGAGTGTGCACGTGTGTCACGTTTGTGCGTGTGTGGTGAGTGTATTTAGCAGGTGTGGGTGGAGTGAGCATGTTCATGTGTGTCGTATGTATTTGAGGGTGTGTGTGGAGCGTGTACACGCATCACATTTGGTGAGTATATTTGAGGGTGTGTATGGAGTGCATACGTGTGCTTGTGTGTATAGTATTGGGTGAAGGGGTGGCGTGTGTGGAGTAAGCATGCACACGTGAGTGCTGTGTGTGGGGTTTCTACCTGGTCCTCCCCTGAGCCTGCTCCTGGGCCCTGCTGTCCTGGCAGCTTTACAGTTTGGTGTGTCTTTGATTCTGGAAGATTCTGGAACCAGATTCTGAAGCTGTGATCACAAACTTGCAGCCCTGGAGGACGCCGGCCCGTGGAGCTGGCATGAGGGTCTCTGTGCTGGCCTCTCCCTGGGCTCTGTGCACAGCAGAGCGTGTCTGATGATTGAGCTGTGCGGGTCTGTGGCTCCCCAGCCTCGAGTCAGCCCTCAATTCTGTCCCGCCTCTGTTTTTCTTGCTGAGGGGCTCCGAGAAGCAGTGCCTGGACGACGTTTTCACCCTGGGGTTGCTTCGCCAGCTGCCCAGGTGCTGGCTGCCTGAGCTCTGCTGCCGTCCTGGGTGGACGGGGCTGGCGCAGGGACATCCCTGAGCACCTGTGGGGGAGGCAGGTTTAGGAAGTGCCACAGGTGAGTGGTTTCCTTCCAGACTTGATTTTCTGGAAAGTTCTGGGCCTCATATTTTTCCCTAAGGGAAGTTAGAAACTGAGTTTCTCTTTAGGGGAACGTCTTTGCAGCATCTGTTTGAATGTTCTCCTGGTGTGGAATACTCAGGGCCGTGTGTGTTTGGGAACATCCGTGTCCTGAGCGAATTCAGTAGGGAATGGAGAGAGGCCTCCTGTCAGCTTGGCCTCTGTTTTGAGTTTGTGAGGGTTGACGGCTGCTGGTATGCCAGTGAGAGTAAAACACTGGGCGCCGTGGGATGGGAATGTTCGCTCTGACAAGGTCAGTGGGAAAGTGTCTAAACAAACGTTGCTGTTCTCCTGGCTCCTCGGGGTCGAGCTTGTTTTGTGGTGTTGAGGGAAAGCTACCCTTGTTCCTGTTCCTCACCATTTGAATGGTGTCCAGGGCCTGTTCCGCTGGAGAGGTGATGCTCATGAGTGGGGGTCAGGTCGCAGGCTGCGAGGTGATTTGGAATCTGTCAGCTGATTTCCTAAAAACACAGGTGCCTGGTAAAGATGTTCCTGATTAGCTAAAACATTTCAACAGGATGTGATAGCTGGTGGTGGTTCAAAGACTATCACAATTTTCCTGTTACTTTTTAAATGCCTGTTGAATAGGGGAAGATTCACATATTTTTCTTTTCCTGTCTGCATACTTGATATTTCGTTTTTTGTTTTATATGTGGGTGTGCAGTTAACTGGATTTAGAAGCAGTCTCAGCCCTGGGGAGACTTCAGG